TTCTAGTTTAAATTACATATATATTCATGAATATTCAGTATGTATGCAATTTACCATCATTATAATAATTTAATTTAAGGGTAACGCCGATAAAAGTGAAATATGTCAAAATCCTTAAATTTTAGATATATGCTTCTTTAACAAAGCTTTATTTTTTTCCTAGAATGCGAAATCAATTAATATATAGGGTGTTCTATTAGAAAACCACCGGACGTACCACTGGACGCACGTTTCGCTAAAGCCAGTGCGAAAGCCTAGTTTTTCAAGCAACAATTTGCTATTGGCCTGTTCCACTGCAACCTTTTCAGATCTATTGCGTCAATCGCATCAGATTTGCAGTTAATACAAAACAAACTTTTAGTCACGTGATTAAGCTTGACCGGCCCAGCGTTGTCAACTTTTATATGTTTTCTTATAATGAAAATATTTTAGCAAACAAATATGAATTAATTATAAATATATAAACAGTTATTATTTACATCAACAAAATTTACCTTCTTAACACAACTTAAGTGACATAAAGGGCCATTACTACCGTTTTTCCGTCCAAAATATTTTAATAAAGTTGGGATGAATTTTTTACGATCGTTAAGCTATGTTGTACACTTCGCACTAAAAGAAGTTATAAAAAGAACAATGTTCGAGTGCGAAGTCTGCTAGTAAACATTATTTAGCTTAAAGTATCACAACACTATTTATTTAAACCAAAAACTCATAATACAAAACTAAAGAGTCAAAACGAATGACAATGTCAAAAAATAAATAAATAAATGAGACAACTTGACATTTTTTACAGCAGAGCTACCACCTGAAACCCAGCGCGAAATTTAAATTCCAGTTAGTCCACTCGACGCCGAATATGCTCATGGTTGGCGACAATGAACTTAAAAATCGCGCTCTCAATTACATAACTAAAAGTTTAATTGACATTAAATATAGATGCCTATTCAGCTTACAATGCTCTGTTAGTAGACCCACTACAGCTTTGTTTGTCTTTCTGCCGTTGCTTATAAAGTGTGCTTTCCTCAATAAGTTCGAATCATTTTAAAGACATTCGTAAAAGAATGAAATGTAGAACGCTTAAAGTAAGGGTCTTTTGAAACCTCGTCTTCTGCACTTTGAAATATTTAGTAAGAACTGTTGGAAAGCTTAAGCGATATCTAAAATATGAAAATTTACGAGTATAATGCACAAAGCGGCGCGGTCTGGCAATGATAAAATAAAAAGGCGACATCGAGAAAGAGACTTGCCGAGAACGTTTTAAAAAAGTTTAAAGATGCACCTTGCATTTTATCGACATCTAAGAGGCACGAGGAGCCAACCCAGATAAAACGGATGTGTTTCGAGCGAGTTTATGGATCAATAAAAGTGCACAGAGTGTTGTTAGCAAGGCGATTTGTTCTTTCTCTTTTATTTTATTTAGTGGCACTAGAAATTTGTCATTGGAGTTGTTTTATAGGGTTTTATACCTTAAAGGAAGAAATGCGAATCATAATATTACGCATTATGCAAAATTAATTATTAATTCTGTTTTAACTTTATAATACTAAGCTCAATAATTACCGTAAACTGGGGTATAACTCACTCAAAATGCGTGAGTTAAGAGCTTCTTAACTCACTGACGTAGATAAAGGTCCATTACTACCGCTTTCCTGTTCAAAATATTCTAATAAATTTGCGATAATTTTTTTACGACTACTAAGCTATTTTGTACACTTCGCACTGAAAAAGGTTCTAAAAAGAACAATATTCGACTGCAAGGTCTGCTAGTAAACATTTTTAAGCTTAAAGTATCACAACACTATTTATTTAAACCAAAAACTCATAATACAAAACTAAAGTGTCAAAGCGAATGACAATGTCAGAAAATAAATAAATAAATGCGGCAACTTGACATTTTGTACAGCACAGTTACCACCTGAATCTCCAGCGCAAAATTTAAATTCCAGTTAGTCCATAATATGTCTATGGTAGGCAACAATTAATTTAGAAATCGCGCCCTCAATTACCTACCTAAAAGTTTAATTGATATCAGATATAGATGCCTATTCAGCTTAAAATGCCCTGTTAGTAGACCCACTACACCTTTTTCTGTCTTTCTGTCTTTGCTTATAAAGTGTGCTTCTCTCGTTAAGTTCCAATCATTTTAAAGATATTCGTAAAAGAATGAAATCTAGAACGCTTAAAGTAAGGGTCTTTTGAAACCTCGTCTTCTGCACTTTGAAATATTTAGTAAGAACTGTTGGAAAGCTTAGGCGATACCTAAAATATGAAAATTTACGAGTGTAATGCATATAGCGGCGCGGCGCGATCTGGAAATGATAAAATAAAAAGGCGACATCGAGAAAGAGACTCGCCGAGAACGTTTTAAAAAAGTTTAAAGATGCACCTTGCGTTATATCGACATCTAAGAGGCACGAGGAGCCAACCCAGATAAAACGGATGTGTTTCGAGCGAGTTTATGGGTCAATAAAAGTGCACAGAGTGTTGTTAGCAAGGTGATTTGTTTTTTCTGTTTTATTTTGTTTACTGGCACTAGAAATTTGTCACTGAAGTTGATTTAGAGTGTTTAACATCGTGAAGAAAGATATGCTAATCATAGTATTACGCATTATGCCGAAATAATTATGAATTCTAACTAAACTCAATAATTACTGTATCTTTGTGACTGCAGTTCAATATGCATAACTTTGGTACATTATATTTTCACATTGTGTAATTTATATTCATCATTTTCAAAAATAAAGGTATCTCTGCTACTTACGTACATATATATGTTAAAGGGTAACTAAAATACGACTAAATAACCCAATCTGGTTATTCTGCATTGAATACTGCATGTTTATTAATATTTCAAAAAGTCACGTACAAACAGATGTATTTTACGAATTCTGTATACTTTCTATGATACAAACAGAACTGTAAAGTTCTATAAAAACTAGTTAGTATATCTTAAAATACTGTTATTTCCCTCATATTTTACGTAAAAACGTTTGTTTAAATGACACTGGAAGAAAAATATATTTGCTTCTAGACGAAATTTTATCTTTGCGGACTAATTTTGGTACTGTCTCGAAGTTGCCCTAAGAATTGTTTTGGTATGTATTCTAGCCTGAATATCATTTTGTACTAAAGTTGGACATAGTAATGAAGTGTTCTTTTTAAAGCAATTATTTAGTATATTGTATGTGTGAATTTTAATAATTAAGGCTAGTGCTAAGCAAAAGTACACCTAATGTCAGCAACAGGATGTTTTTTAGAAATCAAATAGGTTTCGTAAATATCGGCATTTACCCAGATCACGGAATTACAAGAGATTAAAAGAGGAAACAAGGATATTTTTGATGTAGTTACTGTATCCCCAAAATTAGGATGCATATATATTGGCCATTTTATTTAAAAATAATACACTTTTTGTTGCAATATTTTAGGCAATAAGTCGTAAATTATTGTGGTACCTATCTAAGAAAAATATTGTTTTATTTTTGTGATGGATAAATTAATGATCTATTTCCTATCTGTTTTCTTGCTGTTACTCAAATTTCTTCTTTTTTCAGTTGCTAAACTGCGAATTCCTATTCTAGCTTTATTTAAAGTATGATATTTAAAACATAACACCGGATATAACTCATTTTAGATTTAATAGCAATTACAACTTCCGTTTGCAGCATTCCACCAATCTATTCGCGCTGAAATTCAACGAAAATATTAATTTCATTCAACTACGTACTCCTGTTCTGCCCTCAGGACCATCCAGCTAATTGGATCGTCTAAAGCAAGTTATATTGGCTACAAATCATACACCTATCAAAACTAATTAAACTGAACTATTAGCGTGCTGGAAATTTACCGCTAATGGTAGCACGCATTCGGGGAAATACGGTTGTTAAATAAATATACTACCAAGGGAAGATATAGGTTTAATTTATTTAATTAAATTTCGGGGCTCTACAACTGTTAATTGTAAATTTAAACATATATAAAAACATTTTTCAAAACATAAGAAGTGTAATTTAGATGTATTACGAAGCAATACAACTAAAATATGTAACAAACATTGATTAAAGCTGTTTGATCATTCCATTACCATTGTTGTGGGTAAAGCAAGAATCTTAATTTTTAGTGACCAAGAGGACATACTATAACTGTCTTTCATCATCATCAATTTCAGCTTATTCAACCATTTCCAGTTATAGTATAGCTTCCTTCACATATTTAGAAACTTGCTCTAGTTGGTCCTTAAAAATGTACTTGTACGGGGTACGCCTGTACCCCAAAAACATCGAATGCGGTTTATCTGTACCCCAACAGCAAAATTCGCTATAGCTTGTTTCAGTAAAGAGAAATTTACTGTAACTAATGTATATTGAATTAAAGTATGTTTATGGAAAAAATGCTGTCTGGGATACGTTTGTACCCCACCCGGGCTAATGAAAGTTATCTAAGAAAACTACTTTACCGTTACGTTTTTTTATAACTTACTATGAGATAAGAAAGCAGATTGTTCAAACTACCACCACCGTAGCAATTTTATTGACACGTCCCTAACCTCTAACCTTGGCTTATCTACACGTTCGGGCGATAAAACGCACATGTCCGGCCATATTTAAACCGGACCCTAGTCAAAGGAGGCGGTGGTGGTGGTCAGGGAAGTGGATTGGAGGGGGTGGAGAGGGAATAAAACTTTTCTTCCGGTGCGGCAGCTTGAGAGAACAAACGGCCATAATCCGATTGTGGCTGGAGTGAGACACGAGCAAATTCTAGCGTATTATGTAGGTTAGTAAAGCTAAATTCGGGCTACTAGTTGTGACGGTAATTGTTGTTAAGTAGAATTTTTTGATCTGTTATTCGTACCTACACATTTGTACGGAACCCTCTACGCTTTGCAAGCATGTCTTGCCTTTTTTTGTCATCTCAATTCACATTAAGCTTTTTTTTGTCAAGTAACACTTTTAGTAAAAAAAACTTTTAGGTTAAAATCGAAAAAAAAGGAAGCTTACCTAAAACTCCTAACCTAAAATTGATTGTTACTACGATGACTCTGCCCGAGGAAGCCAGCACTGTCCCGTCGTAGGGATTCCCAGAATTCCACTCGTAGCTCTCACCATGGACGTAAACTAAACAAGGCAACTTTTTTGGTTCTTCCTCGCCACTAGCTGAAACAATAAGAAGAAAACTATTTTAAAAATAATCTTCGATGATGCTTTAATGCATACAATTTCAAACCCTATTTCTAACGCTTCATACAACTAAATTTTAATGTGTGTCAGGGATCTTTCAAGTAATAATGTTGGTTAGATGAAAATAAGTATTTAATTGCAACTGACCTCTACAACGGTTTCTTGTTGAATAACGAATATTTCTCGTTAGATAGATATGGCAATAATATGCGGTATTAACGGAGGCGCTATTTTGGCAACTATGACAGTTAAAGTGTCATAATAAGCGTTTGTACGCTATTAACGTTACCGCATGCCGTTATTAAACTTAAAATTAAAAAAAATATATTTTCAATTTTAAGCAATAATCGTAATACACAATGTACATAAATTGAAGAATTGAAATGTTAAACAAAAATTTTGTTATTTCCAGACTTGATATAATCTCATTTTATACATCTATAAATGCTAACTTGATGTAACTAATGTCAAATATTATTAAGTATCACAGTCTCGGCAGAATGGCATCGTTAAATGAAACTGAACATATTGAAATTAAATAAATCAAATTGTTTTTTTATTTATTCGTATCCAACTCAGTATATGAAAAAAAAATCAAGAAATACAAAAACACATATAAAATATACAAAACGGCCAAATTAATAAAAAAGGTACATCATACATTTAAAAAAAAACATAGTCAAACAATCAACATAAATAGGAACAAAACTTGTAGAGAATTAGACAAACTACAAAAAATATATATGCACACAGCGGTTATATACAGAATATCCAGTATTTGGTACACTCCAGAGCGTTGGTATTTCCCTCCGCCAGATCACTCTGATTGCATATGTTTGGGAGATTTGAGCATACGAGAAGATGCTTCATATTTTGTTCCTCTCCGCATTCACAGGATACAGGTCCATCAAGGTTGCCCCACTGGTTCATGTTTGTCTTGCGTCTGCCAACCTGAGTACGCAAATGGTTCAGACTCCTCCACACCGGCCATGCCTGTTCCGCACCAGGTGGTAGGCTCTCTTTTGGCTTTAGAGCAAAATCGTTCGGAGTTGTTGAAGTTGCTGACCACAACTCTAGTCACTTTGCGGATGCCGTGCTGCTATCAAGTGGCTGGACGGCAGAAAGAAAACTTTCGAGCTTTCAACCTGGGTCCAGCGGCGTATTGTCCAAAGAGCGGGTGCCGGGTATCGGAAAGAGCTTGCTATTTCTCTTTCATGCTGGAAACTTGTCTCCTTATGTGGGGTCCAGCTATCCCACTGAGGAGGTGTAGCTGTTGGACCGATGTGGGTTTTAGGCATCCGGTGATTAGACGGCACGATTGGTTCAGCATCGGGTCTATCTTTTTGGCATGACAGGAGCGTTCCCAAACTGGTGCGGCATATTCGGCAACAGAATAGCAGAGTGCAAGAGCAGTAGTTCTTAGTGTGTGCGGATTAGCCCCCCAGGTGAAGCTTGCCAGCCGTCCCAACAGGTTGTTCTTTGTAGAAATTTCGGCCCTAGTCTTCTCGACGTGATGTTTAAATGACCGGTCTAATGTGACACCTAAATAAGTTGGCCGTGAGCAAAATCTGAGTTGCTGGTCGTTACAATTGACATTTATAGCTCTGTTAGCTTCCCTGTTATTTAGATGGAACAAGCTAGTGACAGTCTTCGAGGCGTTTGGTTTAAGGCTATTATCTCTGTAATATTGGGTTAGCGCGGTCAGGTGTAATGTTAAATTATCTTCAATTTTACAGAAATCCTTATCTTGGCTAACTATTGCTAAGCCATCTGCGTAAATGAAGCTTCTGATGTGTTGGCTCAGCGGCTGGTCATTTGTATAGATATTGAAAAGAATTGGTAATTGGAGAGAATTAATTAATTACATACACATGTTATATTATAGTGCATATGAAATAAGTAAGGAAAAGCCTTAGCACATTATATTACAACAGAAAAATAAAATATAGACTTTAGTTAACACTAGTTAAATAATGCGGAAACATTTACTTTAATAATAATAATTTATAATTTAATAACCCACATTCTTTGCACAATAATCAAAATTTACAAACCAAAATAACATCAGTGCGTCTCGAACGGTAGTCTAAAAGCTATTACCTAACACCTATCATCTCTGTTTATTGTCTGATTTCTCTCTCCCGAGTGTAAATAATATTTTAAGAATCAATAATTATTTTTTTATACAAAAACTTAAACTTAAACTTTAAACTGAATGTATCGAATTTAAAGAAATATGTTTATTTTTAAATAGGCGGGTCATTTCCAACAATTTAAAAAAGTCAACAAATTAATGACATTATTATAAGTTTTAAACAAAATTAGAATGGTACTGATCAACTGGAATTTAAATCAGCCATATTAATCCCCCTTTGAGCTCCACCAAAATTTGTTGATATGGCCTTTCCTTCAAATTTATATTCAAAGGTAGGAACTAATAATATAACCTAACAGCTTCAATAAAAGTAAAATATATTAATGTAATATTCAGTTTCTTCCATTTTTTTTATGCAGTCTTCCCCAAAATCTAACCCCCCAATATCACGCATAATTTACCACTCTCCCTATCAAAACGTCTTCCTTTCTCCTTATTCCATTTAAACAGGAAAACAAAGAAGTTACGCTACATTTACTAACCGAAAACATCCATAAACTTTCCGATTTGTCACTTAGTGTCAGTGAATTTGGAAGAGTTTCTGTTAAAACTCCACTTTCTGACTAACTTGTAGCAGGCAGTTAAAAGTTAAAAGAAAGTTGAAGAGTGGAATGTTGGAAGCAGATAGTGGAAGAGGAAATTTTCTAGTTCGTCTTATTATATTGCTTCTTGCATTAAAATGGTTTGGTTTTCTCGTCTGGGAAGTGGTAATGGAAGAATATTAGATATAAAATGCAAAAGAACTGGTCTAAATTAATTTGAATATAAATAAAGTTGATGCAGATCTGTACCCCAGAAGCAAACTATATTAAGTCACAAACAAACATAGTTAAAACATAGTTTTGAGAAAAACGAATTTATAGTTATTTTTTATACAAGACGATAAAATTGTATTTTATCGTCGACCCAAAAGATTAATCGCGAGTGAATTAATTTCGGGAGACGATAATGCAGTTTTATCGTCGTGTATAAAGCAATATTTTCTTTCCATAGCGAGTTACATTTTAAAAAATATTCAAAAATTATTATTTCATATGGGTGATGGGTTGGCGTTGGTTTCTATGTAATTTGACAAATAAATAAAGCTGTCTCTTTAGTTGTCAGTTTTGAGTCAATATTTTTTAATTCTCTTTCATGCCGATTGCTGATTGAATTGTAGCCAGAAATGGTTCAAAATCAAATGAGTAAATTACCAACAGATATTTAGGTTTAGGCGACAAACGCCTGTGGACATAATATACTAAACTAACCAAAGATCTTTAAGCTAATTTTTTTGCGGCTGCTCTAAATAATCCGTTCGACGTCATTCCATACCATTCTCTGAGGTTCTTCAGCCAGGATGTCCGTCTTCTACCTCGACTATGTCTTTCTTGTATTTTTCTTTTCATAATATTCTGGAGCAATTTGTATTTAGGAACTTTTATAACATGTGCAAAATATTCTAATTTTTTTCTCTTAAAGGTTTTATGTATTCCTTCTTCCTTGTTTTTACGGCGTAACACCTCGATATTTGTAACTGTATCGACCCAAGAAATCCGTAACATGCGATGATAACACCACCTTTCGAAAGCCACCAATTTGTTAATTTCGGCTCTTTTAAGGGTCCACGCTTCGGCACCATACAATAAGGTCGAAAACACGTAGCATCGGAGCATTCTTATTCTTAAATGTAAGTTTATATCTCTGCTGCATAAAAATTTCTTTAGATTTAAAAAAGAATTTCTAGCTATCTCAATCCTGGACTTTATTTCTCGCAATTGTTCGGCAGTTTCATTTATTACTGTGCCCAAGTCTTTGTAGCGTTGGACTTTTTCTATTGACGTTTTGTATTAGAAAAAAAATATTAGGACAGATAGAGTAAAACTAGAAAGAGCAAAGGGTAGAACACAAAAAGCTAAGTAACTTGACTTAACATAGTTTGCTCCTAGGGTCCAGATATAGCATTAATAACACACTGGTGTCAAAAATTCAAACGTGTATAAGGAAAACCGCGTATAACCAAGAACTTCTGTATACGTAAGCATTAAATAAATGTACCTAAATTACAAAGAGCTTTGAAATAAGATAGTGCCACTCTGGCAAAGCCTTTCTTGTAAATCCTTTTTGCGTAACATGATTTTAGTTACGTGTAAGCCGCAAACAGTTTATTTTGGCGCACGTGTACGACGACGTTTCGTGTTGATAACAGCAACAGCAGCAGCAGAAAACCGACTCTTAAAACCGGCTTTATTCAAATGCACGATTCTCGCTAAGTTGAATAAATGGCTGGGAACAATAGCTGATAATTGCTCTAAGAAGACGCTTGTAATTTTTAAATATACTTTGCGATATACATATACAGGGTGTTTCAAAAAAGAGTAAAAAATAAGATTTACGTTTCACAATCAAAGAAAAGTAAAAATAAAATTTATTTTTCATATCAACATAGGTCCGATTCTGCTTTGTTTCGTAGCTACAGGGTGTTAAAGTCTTAATATTTTTTCGGTTTATTATAATTTTCTTCCGAATACTTTTAGTGATTCGAATGAAATTTTGAGAGTAAAAGTTACTATAATTGCTACATATTTTAATGATAAAAAGTGTCGGTTCATAATAAAATCAATATTTTTCAAAAAAATACATGTGCGCCACTGACTTTTTTGCTTTTGATAACAAAATTGTGTAGGCCGTTTAATGCCAATTAAAAGTTATCTCTTGATATTTTGTCGAACTTGGCCTCCTTGATGAAATAAACGCAATTTTATTAATCACAATTAATAAAATAAAAATAAAATTAATAAATTATATAATTTACCTAATTTATTATTAAACATTATTATTA